TTGTACCCTGAAACTTGCACAACAATGCACATAATCTAGTTTTACCATGAAAGTTTGCGATTGTGGACAATTTTGCGAGTAAAAGTATGCTGCTTAGTCAAACCTTAGCATCCTACCTATTTTCTGCTTTTGTAGACTCATTTGACTCCAAAGGGCTTAGATCAAATTAAACAACTATTTTGACGCTATTTGAGCCTATCTTCCTGTGAATATCCAAAATATGGTGAGGTGTTTGATTTGAGAAGAGAGCATATCAAACAGAAACTATGTCATAATCGTTTACGAGGTGTTCTAATTTTGAGAGAATGCATTGTCTATGCACAAGCATGAATCGTAACTCAATGGTATAAGTGCAACGCAAATGCGGAAAAAGTAAATAGTAAGTATTGATAAGATGGGTTCTTTACGCCTGTTTCGCCTCACCCCTATACAGATGACTTTAGAGTGAGCCACTCCCGAGGCTCGTCAGTAGGGAAGAGTGGTGTACTGAGAAGGATAGGTCTAGGAGGGGGGTACTTATACGTGAGGGGTAGAGCAAATAGATCAAAAATTCAGTTATGTTGCAATAACAAAGGTTTTAGTCTTTTTGAACGATTGTAGATGCAAATACTTATATGATATGCATTTATTTTTACTCAAGCATTTGATCATGGCGTTAGAAATGATGTTGGGAGTGTACTGTAAAGCTAAAAGTTTGTGCTAGCTACATTCCATAGTAATTTAACGCACAGTTGTAGTACTCCATTGCCACAAGTGAGAAATTTAATGTATAAAAATTTTTTCTACACCTCGAACGAAATCGCCTTTGGGTCACCTTCGCAGACAACTGGTTCTTTTGCGACGCCTGTTGCATGTAATAGTTTGAGGACCAGCAGTCCGCGACCCAACATGGCAAATTCGTTCCTTGTTCACGAATTTTTACAACTTTGAAAATAAATTGCTAGTGGTTTTTTTTTTGCATTTTCTTCCCATGTATGTCGTGAATAGAGAAAAGTCAAATTTGTTGTGCCTCGGATCCAGTTTTGTAATGGAAAATAACTGCAACTGTAGTTCAGAATCGGCTCGAATTTCAGTAGGAATCCATTACTCAATGCCCTTCAAAATAGTGAAGATTTAGCCAAGGAGGTGAAATTTATGAAGCAGCCTGACAGTACTTCAAAAGCTCTTGTTCTTACATTTAGGAGAATAGTGGTTTGCGATCTACAAACTGCGACAGATAAGTCATGTGAAATTTTAAAAAATATCTAGAAGTGATTGGTGTAAGTCGAAGTGTTTGACTAAAATCAGAGGTAAATTATTACAAATGTTGCTTCAAACGCATCCTATTAGGGCGGCAGCTGACAAAACCTGTGCGTTTTATTATCTAACAGTAAAGATTTACATTCACTTAATCTGTACTGGCAAACTCGGTCATCAGACCCTGTCCACGTTTAAGCTCAGTATTGAAAAGGCAGCAAGTCAGTGACATATTTGTTTGCCGCGGCTGCCCTGCTTTGTTGGAAAAGCTGGATGTTGTTTAATGTCCGTGCTAGCATGACTTTAGTCATTACATAATACCCAAAGTCAAAACATTAAAGAGCAAGTGAATGACATGGTGCACTGGAATAAAGGTAGGAAAGCTACAGTATTTTCCCCATTTTTCGTAAATGCCAGGCATTGGCTTCGTCAGCTCGACATTTGACCTCATCGCTTGTTTCATTTGAAGACGTTTAGTGGAAGACTAACAAGAGGAGGATAACTGGCGATCTTGGCCTCTTGGAATATGTCGTACACCAAAAAGCTTGCATTAAATCGCTGCTCGAAACTGTCTTCGTTAGCTGCAGAACGCTTCCGTGGCGAGAAAAGGAAGATCAATTGAAAGGCCTTTTGATATGAATGGATATTGCTTTGAAGAGTATACAACATTGATTTCAATCCTACCTTGCTTATCTGCTGCGGGTCCCTGTGCAAGGAGTTACGAAGGTTTTTGTAAGCAAAATTTATATATGCAGGTATAACAAGATCAGTAGTAACATTTTCAGGTTCTGCGCAATAATGATTCTTAATTTGAACATATCCAATTAACTCTGATACTTCGGTAAGCTAGGAAAAGCCAACAACTAATTCTATTGAACATGTTTAAATCTTCTACCCATAAAAACCTTCAAAACTCCTTGCTTAGAAACCTGCAGCAGGAAAGAAAAGTATATCTAGAATCAGCGGTTTATACTTTGGAATTACACTTCTCATACAGTAAGGCCACTTCAACTAACCTTCGTCCCTTTCTTTTTTGCTGCATGATAGAATTATTAGGTCTTTCCAAAAGTATTTCGCTTTTTCAAACAAGTGCCATATCCCGTGGAACAAAGTTTCATGAAGATCTTGATAGTATTTGGTGCAGTTTTTCATGCTCTTTCAGACGATGATTTTTATGTTGCAGTTTAAAAAACGAACTCTTGGGAAATTACCAAAAGCGGCTTATGATTTTTGAGACAGCTAAGTCGCGCTAATTTTTGAAATTTTTGTACTGTCTCTCCGAATAAGTCTGAATAGTTAGAGCATAAATAGAGCAAGAACTATTAGATACTAGACAATTTGTTCTTCCTCCTTGTAGTTCGTCATAATTTTAACAGAACTTTTTGACAACACCATCAAATTTCAGCAGACCCAAGTCGGACGCAGACTCGTCAAGCATCAATGAGTTTTTAATTTTTACTACTTTCAAATGTGAATTATGTTCAGCACTGATTTTTCAAAACAAACATGCGATTAGCGATTCACAACATCAGATCTTGAATTTTCAGGGTACAACTCAGGGTAATTCAAGAACAAGATTACTGCTAATTCAATCTCCTAGACTTTACGATTCAAAAACCAAAACATCCTTATGAACGCGAAGAAAATGTTACATCGAGTAATAACCGAGCTGCTTGCCGGTTGTTGTTCTATGAGAATCAATTTGACCTCAAATGCAATTTGATAGCATCAAGAAAATAATTTTGAAAATTTTGGAAAGGAAGCTTTGAGGGATGAAAAATCTTTCTGCATCCTATAGAGTTTGGTTTACACATCCGTTACGAACTTATTCGGGGAATCAGTGCAAATTGAAAAACAGCGGAACTCAACCATTTCAAAGGTCATGGGTCGTTTGGTAATTTTGAGAGCTCGTTGGTTAAACTGAAACATAAAGACAATCATTAAAAAGATCATGAAAAACTGTATCGTATGCCACCTAGATCTTTTATAAATCTTAGTTCCTGGCAATGTGCCGCTTGTCAAAAAACGAAAATACTTTCGGGACGACCTAATAATAGGACGTCATAAAAGTTTTTTTTCGCTTTTTTAACGGCAGATACAAATTGCGAACAAAGACTTGTTAAGTTTCAACAGCATCTATGCATCTCTTCGTTTTTTTAGAGTTATGTTCCCATTGCAATGTAATGAATGAGCTCCTAGAAATTCTTATAAACCCAAAACTCACGCCTCCTGCCATGGTCGAGTTTCGCAAATTTTCGAGATCTTTATACTAAATTCCCGAAGAAGTCGAAGTAACGGATGGATATAACAACCCAACAAACAAGTCTGTCTTAGTTCGAAAGCCTTGGCAATATGAGCTCTTTCAAAGATGTCTTGGGAGTACTTTTGTGCGTTTGTATGTCTAATGTTTAGAATTAAATTTTACATTTCCAAATCAGTTTGAACGAATTGTGCAACTTTTTTGTGTTTTCTTCGAAAACTTTTAAAAACTTCCTGGAAATGAAAGCCCCGAGTTCGCGACACACTTATGACATGACTGGGTCTACCAACCTGCGGGTGATGCCGCAACTGCACAATGAGCAACAAGTTTTGGCAGTTTGTTAACACTGCAAAAATTTAAATTTTTCTCTAATGTTCTCTCTACATTCATTTGTGCTTTTCCTTCCTACAATTATCGTTTCAGAAAAAATTCAAGTTATTGCACCGTGTAGAAACGAATGCAGAAACTGTTTGTTTTTGTTTTGGTTTTTTAAAATTTTTTTCGAAGACTTTTTATTTGTGAGTGTGTCAATGACTGCATTGACATTTGAACCGCTGAAATAAACGTGTGTAGTGTCCGTGTCATCCCCCCATGTTTGCTAAACACTATGGAGTGTGCTCTGCGTAATTACCATATTACAGTACGTGTCAACCACGTGTTCCCTTTTCCGTAGCGACTACGCATCCGCAGCGCGTTGCCATGCGCAGCGATCTCCAATCGATGTGGCAGGTTTGAACGCTCAAGCCGTACGCCCGCGAACGCGGCATGAGGCTCTAGAGTTGCGCTTGAGCTGATCGGAAAGGGAACACATCATTGACACAGACTGTACCTCTTCTCTCGCTCATTACCCAGAAAATGCTATTCATTTGCAAAAATAAGAGCAGAACGTATTCTCAGCCACAAAGTGTTGTTTTGAGCACGGACCGAGAATGCCACGGGTACCGATGGATGGACCTTCTGACATTGCCCACATGCCGTGAACATGAGATCTTTTAGAAGCTTCCTGTGACTTTCAAATATATTGAGGTAAATAGTGTAACAGAAATTAACAACTTATTGATAAGATTGCCTGCATTAATTTTATCATTTTCGGTTGAGAGTTGTAGGAGCGTACAGAAGGACAAAGGAATATGCTGTACAAGGTACCAACAGTACCAACACAAATACTTCTGTTTATTAATGACATTGACTGCACTTTCAGTTATGTTTACAGATGTATAGAAAGGCGCTCAGGGTCGATCAGTGATGGTGCAGGAATGTTGAGAACGGCTAAATAACCAAATCCGGCTTACGAACTTCGCAAGTTTGGCACTGAGGATTGAGAGAGGGTATATAGACTAAACCAAATTGTTTTTGGATTCTTACACTATAACCGACTGGAATCAAAAGAAGAGTTTTTTCTATATAGAAAAAGAAAACAGCTTTTCTGAACTTTTACATGGGTGGAGTGTGAAAGGGATTTAACTACTACAGCATTAATTCGATACATGTTAGAAACTTGATTGAGAAGATGATCACTGAATTTGCTCATTTTCGATAAGTCTCAAGCCCAATCAATGGGCCAGCGAGATAACCAGCGACGCTTCCATCCGGTTTTGTTACTTCTTCCATCCCATGATCAGGAGACGAGTAATCGCCAGCATCACTTGGCTTGTACGAATAGATCTCAAGTAAGCCATTTCGGTACACATGTGCTTTGGTTACAGGAAAAATCACTTTGTTGTTCTAAATGAGCAGTTTGAGAGGTAGTAAGGAGTTCTCACAACAGTGAAAAGAATTCTTACCGCTGTGACAAATTGACCGCATATAGCCCTTTTATCTTCTGGCTCACAATACTCAATGTACTCGGCTGGGTACCCTGGTCTTTGCCTTTTCCATGTCACAACACCAGGTCCAATATTAAGTGCAACGCTTTGGCCAACCTAATCACAAAATATCCAAATAAGCGTGTACTTCAAGAGCGTTTCTTACATGGGCCCGAACATTCCATGCGGCAGCGTTAACCAAAGTCACGATAGCGGAGAACACAGTAGCTGCTGCCCACATTCTTCAAAAGTAGAGTGTTATTGTAAATTATTGATAAACTACAGAGAAGCAAAATACTCAATGAGGTAAGATGAACATTTTTTTGTCATTAACAAGAAAAAATCGAAGCACTAAAACTACTTCTCATCATACATTTACACCAGTGGTTCGCTCAGTTTTCGAAAGTAATAAATGAAAAAACATGCCCATTCACTCATTCACCTCGAAGAAATAAGCTAATCAAAACAATTATGAAGGAGACTTCAATTTACATCTCTTAATAAACTAAAGTGATTTTACGCTATATAAATCAAGATTATTTCTCCTACTAAGCACTTATCTTCACTTTTATATTATATTGGAGCGGGAGGGATTCGCAAGCATTGTGCGAACTCTGGGTTTTCAAAGTCTTAATCAGCATTCATGAATCATTTAGTATATGGTTATATTTAGACACTAGTGATCCGCATTTGCTAGTTTACTCAGAGCTCATTGCATGCCGATCATCCTGCTTTCGGTTGTGATAGTTCTCCCATACGACCAGTCGTGACTAACTATCACTACCGAAATGCAAGATGATCGGAATGCAGTAAACTCGTAACTGTTTGCCTTGTTGGAAGAAATCGCGGCGATGAAATCGCGTGACTCTGCCCGAGGCATTAGGTTAACAGGTACTAGTCAATAAAAAACTGAGATCATGTTTAACATTTTGAATCAAAACAAACGGAGAAAACTTTTAACCATTACATACGATAGCTCAAAAGAGCGTAACGTTAGAAAAGCATCTTGTTAGAATAGTAAGTTATGATCGTAAGGATAGGAGAAACCCAAATCACAAAAAAGTTGTGTATACAGTAGAGTGAACGCCCAATAATATTAGGTTGATGCAAAAGGAATGGCCGACATGCGAATTCTCACTTTGATGCGCTATAACTTTCTAAAAAATCCACATTTCTGAATGCTGTAAAGATCCCCAGAAGCAGCAAACCTTTCGCAACACAGCGCATACTTATTTATACTCAAATCTTAAACGGGAAAAGAAAAATACGGGGTAAAAGACAAAAAAGGTTCTTCTGCGGGTACGTCGTTTTTGACAATTCATAACTTCCTTCAGAGTTTCTGATTATGAATGATAGGTAGCCATTCTTAAAGCCGCAAGCCAGTAGTACAAAATACAGTAAAAAGAATTCGGACAAAAAAGTTTGCGAGAAAAAAAATTAAAATTTAAAATTTCTCAGTTTTTTCAACATTTTTTCAGTGTGCCTCAAAGTCCGGAATATAGAATTTTCTGATTTTCTGCGTACTGAACAGCTGGATGTTTTCGCAAAAACGGCTAATAAATATCCTAGCTCTACGCTTACAGAATTGAGCAAAGCTTCGGCGACTGACTTCCTTCGAAGAAAATTATGGCTCATAAAATGACCGCAACAGCTATCCATGCTTAGGCGCCGATATCTCAGTCTGGATAACTTCAAAAAATGCAGTTAAGTATGCATAATGTAGAAAATTTCTATTACATACATTAGCTAAATTTTGAAAAAATCCCATTAATACGCGCTTGATTTTTGGCCGGAAAAGTGAATGCAATGAAATTCTGAATTTGGATGCGGTTATTTCAAGCTCAGTGACTTTATAAGAGATGAGGATGAGAGGCCGTTCCAAGCATCATTATATAGAGCATGAAAACAGCTTCGCGACGATATACCACATCCATTGTAAAGAAGAAGTATTGATGGAAAAAAGTTGCCCTGAAAAAGGCTTGGAAAATCGGCCATTTCTTCTGCATCAACCTAATAAATGAAAGGAAGTTAAATTTTGTTTATGACCTCACAGCTGCTTGACTATTATGGGCATCAAAAACTCAGTCGTACAAAACCGCATAGTCCAAAGAATCTTTCTAATTTCATGAAGTCTTCCTGCTTACGACAGTTTTTTACATGTCGGCCAGTTTTAACCTCTTAATGTTGTAGCCTCAGAGAATGAAAAGAAATACTGTGTAAAATTAGTGGGGCATTACTGTCCTCCAAAAATTTCAAAATTGTATTTTCGAATACTAACGTGCGCCTATTGCTATTTATTATTCAAAACCCGTTCCGCAGTAGTTATTCGACCAATGACATGTGTAAGAAATCAACATTTGATATGACTGATAACCCCCTCAGTAACCTTTCCAGACTTTGCAAATCATACAAGGTATGACTTTCGTCAAACAAAACATTTGCTTTTTATCACAATTGTGGTGATTGCTCATATTTTCGCCAAACTCTCAATGGCATCTTGCTAGATCATCGTGGAAAAGAGAATCATGATTCATGCAACATCCATGAGAAATTTTGCAAATGTTCCAACTGTCCTTGTTTTATTATTTGAAGATGTATCGTGCATGCGTGCAGCTAATGGCAGCACTGTAGTCGACAAATGACTAAGTATGTTTTAGAGTTTGTATAGTTGTGTCTCAGCTCCCAAAGGCACACTCGCGAGTACACGAAGGGCACCCTCGCCTGACGTTTACATTTATCTTCTTATGAGCATTAAAGTGTTCTTTGTCTCATCTAGAGTGAGCCCGATCCAGCGACCAGGGTCTCGCGCGGAACTTCCTTAGATGCACTTCGCAAACTAGTCATCAAGATTTTTCACGCCTGGCGGGGGAAAGGGCTCAGAGGCGGACTTGTATCCTCAACTAGGGTGAAAAAGTGGTCAGAGAACACGTTTGTCAATGCGGTACTAGCCCAAGCGAGGTACTGGTGCGGTACCTGAGAAACTGGAGCCGGGCTCATTTCCTAAATAATAATAATTATTAATTCATGCCGGGGGGTGATGAAAAACGAAAATCAAAAGAAGCGAAAATCTCTTTGTCTAAAACAAGAAAGCCTAGGCAAGATTAAATGTAAATAACACACGAAATCTCACAAGGGAAGTCACTTAACTTAGGTCGGGCTTTTGAAATATGACACATATATTTAGAATCAGCTCGGAACGCTGATTCCAAATATGCTACCCTTAGCTGCGAAGCGTTTCTCTGAAGCGAGTTATGAGCTTTTTTAGTATGTGTCATTGACATACAACTGAATATGGAAAGAAGGTCTTTAAATGAAAATCTGCCCAAAAAGTGGTGGAAAGTCAAAATAACATTAAATTGAGTCATTTGGCTTTGATAGAGTATAATATGCATTTGTACCACTACCTAGATGATGATACCGTAGCATGCCTAAGTCGGTCAACGCGCAAAATTTGCTCACGAAAAGGCTCATAACTCGCTTCAGAGGAATGCTTCGCAGCTAAGGAAAGCAGATTTGAAATCAGCGTTTCAAGCTGATTCCAAACGTATGTGTCTCATTTCAAAATTCCGACTTAAGTTAAGTGACTTCCCTTGTCAGTTTCCAATCGATCCAATAAATATGAGTGAAAATTGTAGCGATGGTAATGAGTAGTAAAAGAAAAAAAACGAGCAATTTTAAAATGTTACCCGATCACAAAAGAAAACTCATTAAGTCAGTCAAACAGGAGCCCGTTTTTTTTTTTGCAAGCCCCACCGGCTTGCTTATACATTTGCAGCACGAGCAGTAGATCTGCTCAAAAAAGGGGAGATAGATACTAATGGATACTGTTGCGGCATAATGGCCTCTGTCACGATTCTGGCTATTCGGATAACTATTAAAAATGTTGAGGGAGAAATTCATAACGCGTCGCGACTTCCGATTTACCAGCAACTTCACATTTACGCATCCGAATCGAGGCGGCTCTTTGTAGTACGAATCGCTCTTCATTTCTGATCCCACTTCCGTAACATCACATCACATCTTTGTTTTCACTTCGAACCTTTTTTAAATTCAATGAATCAGCTTTTAGTGTCTTGTTGTTCTATACGGTCTTATAGGTTTCAACCTGTAAGCATACTTAAATGCTAACTCAGACTTCACTTTCTAGACATACACCTGCTTGTTCTTCAATTGAGGACCGTTCCTCAAGATTTTATCAAACCACTAGCAGAAACCATATTACCTAATCCAACATTGTGAGATTTTAGCATAGTTTGAGATGAAATCAAACAGTTCATGATAATGACTATGTCGATACATAATAAATGCAAAGCGCCATTATTAGAGATTTGCAAGTCCTTTGTTTGTTTCAAGTTTGTTGTCGAAAAGCTACGACACTTGCGTGCTTAGTTAGACAAGGTAAGGTGTTACTACCTGCTAATTTAGCATAGTAGATAAGTGTCTATATGAGAGCCAAAACTGTGGATAAACCAATGAAATTGGTCGGAATCGTTGGACTGTAAGCATCGCGATGTTATCCGATTAAAGACACTCACTCATAAACGACACGACCTAGCCTACTCGCACCTAACGCAGACAGAAGCAAACACGAAAGAAATTATCATCTTTGTCCTAATGTCAAAGATTACGAGGACAGATACTCATGAATAACGCTGTTACTAAATTTTTTGCTCAAATTTTGTTAATATGCTAAGATGTTTCATTTCATCAGTTTGTCTGTTTTGACTTCAAACCATTTCCAATTCAGCGCACTTTGGAGCAATATCCAGTCGACACTCCAGCAATCCAAGAAGATATTGCTTCATCGCTTTCTGCAAAAAACATGAAAGGCAGTAGCATGTTTGAAAACCTAAAACTTCCTCGAACATGGAGTATGAATCTTATATATAAAGATGAATGTCTGTATGTTCCGATTGGAAAATTTTATTTCTGAACCGATCCGGAACAAACCTGGCACACATACACTTCGAGGCGGAGCGGGTGTCATAGGCTACTTTTTTGTCTTCGATTTTATCGATTTTTATCAATTTTTTGTAAAGTTTGAGCTATGGGGCTGAGAGTTGGCACAGGGATAATCGAGCATGCTGATTACGAATAAATATTAGCATTTGGAATTATCTATTAGTTTTATCGATTTTATCGATTTTTTTGTATTTTGAGCTACGTGGCTGGGAATTCGCACAGCTATTGTGAGCATGCTGATAACTAACACAGCAGGAATAGGGAGTTGGAGTAGAGCAT